ATGAGATTGCAGAGGAAGGGATGACAAAGAGAGTAAAAGGGCCACAACGAGATTGCAGAGGAAGGGATGACAAAGAGAGTAAAAGGGCCACAAGGAGATTGCAGAGGAAGGGATGACAAGAGAGTAAACGGTCTACAATGAGATTGCAGAGGAAGGGATGACAAGAGAGTCAAAGGAAGGAACGGAGAAGGGAGCAACGGGGGTTGGCTGGCTTATGGGGGAGGAAAGGGTCCTGATTCCGTTCTCCATTCCAGGCCAGAAGAGACGATACCTATCCAAAGGAATGCAGGAGGTCCCAAAGGCATTCTGGGTTTGTTGGAAGTCGGCAAAACTTTTAAAAGCGGCGGGCGGTCCGCCCCCGCGGGGGGGGGGGGGGGGGGGGGGGGGGGGGGACACGGCGCACCCCGAAAAAAGCTTCTCGCCCCCACCCTTCCCAGCCCCGCCGATCCCCTCGATGAAATCACCACAGGACTGCGTTGATAACCCCTCAATAACCTTTTTATTTGGGAGGGGCTGGCACCCGCTGCCCCCCCCCCTTGCTCCCGGCTGGGTTGGCGGCATGGCCGCCGTCCTCCGCCCGCCCCTCCCGCTTCCGTCCACGTGGCAGGTGGGAATCAGGCTTAGAATAAACGTTTGAAGTGGAGGAGAGGAAGAAAGAGGAGGAGGAGGAGGAGGGCAGCCAGCTGAGGGGAGGGGAGGCTCAAGGCCACAGCAGAGGCGGGGGAGGGGGGAGGCAAGAGACCGGATTGGGGGAGGGGGGTGGAGCTCCTGCCCGTCTCCCACCAGCCCCGCCCCCACTTCTCCATCCACCCCCCCACCCCCCAAGGCAGGGTTCAATTCCAGACTTTCAAGAAGCTGTCCCAGGAGCCGGTGGCTACGGCCATGCCGTCGTCCGTCACGCCAAGGCAGCTGACTCGGTTGTCGTGGCCGGCGAGGACCCCTGCGAAAGAAGAGAGAAATCCCTTTAGCGACGGAAGCCCAAGGGAGCGGGGGAGGGGGAGGAGAGAGAGAGGGAGAGAGAAAGAGAGAGAGCACGAGAGGAAGAGAGAGGGAGAAAGGGAGAGAGAGAAAAAGAGAGAAAGACAGAGAGAGAGAAAGGGGGGGGAGAAAGAGAGAGAGAGACAGGGAGAGAGAGGAAGAGAGACAGACAGACAGAGAGGAAGAGAGAGGGAGAGAAAGAGAAGAGAAAGGGAGAAAGAGAGAGGGGGGGAGGGAGAAAGAGAGAGAGAGAAAAAGAGAGAAAGACAGAGGGAGAAAGAGAGAGAGAGAGAAAGAGAGGGAGAAAGAGAGGAAGAGAGAGAGGGGGAGAAAGAGAGAGACAGGGAGAGAGAGTAAGAGACACAGACAGAGAGAGGAAGAGAGAAAGAGAAAAAGAGAAAGAGGGAGAAAGAGAGAGAGAGAGGGAGGGAGGGAGAAAGAGAGAGAGAAAAAGAGAGAAAGACAGAGGGAGAAAGAGAGAGAGAAAGAGAGGAAGAGAGAGAGAGAAAGAGAGAGAGAGAGACAGGGAGAGAGAGGAAGAGACACAGACAGAGAGAGAGGAAGAGAGAGGGAGAGAAAGAGAGAGAAAAAGAGAAAGAGGGAGAAAGAGAGAGAGAGAAAAAGAGA